TCTCTGAAATGGTCTTGAGAAAGGCTGCCATTTGTGACTGTTACTTGGACAACAAGAACAAGTTTGTCACTTTTAATGTGTTATATATGTATTAAGTCTATGGTTACAGCTATGTGATGCTGTTCTTCTTGTGTGATCGTCCAGGTGAGGGTACGTGTAGTTCTGAAAGGAAAACTACTGATACTCTTGGGTTCACACCATTTACTAATCTATGTGATGCCTTGGAGAACATGGGAAAATGATAAATATTTACTTGATTCACTTAGACTCCTTGAACTAATACAAGAAAGCAAATCGTTAATGCGAATGGGAATACAACTTCCTGAGAGTGCCATAGATGTTCTAAAACAGGTAGGTTTAGACATATGTTGTGTTCTCTTTGACATGACAGATGTCTTGGTGTCATTGTTCTTGCTCAGTTGTGTTTGTTATAATAGGCTATTTCCGAGTTACCTTGTGCCTCTGTTTTAAAACAAGTCTTTGTGCAAAGCCTTTCACGGAGCTGCAAATAACAGTCGGTCATCGGACATTGGCCAACCAAAATTGGCTGATGGCAACTGTGGTCAGACATGATGTCCAGACAATCTTTTTATTGTAAATCATTTTAAAGTAATGATGAATAAAAATCTACCATGAGTAAATCTTACTTTTTTGGTGATGTCCAACCACAGTTTGTTTTGTCTGACCAAGATGGTGCCTTAGTAGGACATGTGTCCTTTCAAGAGAAATAAAAATTATTTGCAGCCCTGCTTTCATATGATAATGAGTTTGATTTCCAGGCAGAATGCATTTTCATATGATTAGTGTCGCATGGAGACTTGTTTTGATACAGACGCAAAAGACAATCCAAAAAGGGCTTAATATCTGTGAATGTCTTTGGAAACTATCCACCAATCATAGCTCAAAGTGGTTGTGTGGGTTATCCTTGAAATTCTTATGCCAAAGCTGAATCAAAGTTGATCGGTAAAAAATAAAGTGTGAACTGAAACATGGTTTTAGGGCAGTACTCTCAGCTGCCATAGAGATGTCAGTGTGAGACTATTTGAACATACTTAGGAAATTATTTTATATAAGTACATGTAGAGGTAATATTAATTAACATTGCCAATTTGATGTGCGATAAAATTGAAAATATATACATGCACCGTGCGTATGCCACATATATTGTGTTGGCCACTGTATTTTCCGGTGTATATCGATAACATATAAGTGGCTTGTGGGATGCTCCACGTATACCACTCAAAAGCTTTCATAACGGGTATGTATATTTCCATCTTCTTTCAACTAGGAGCATCGCCTTAAGTGCTACAAGCAGTCATTAGAGCTTGTTCTCCAAGATTACTACAAGGTGTGCCAGGAGGTACCCCCTGCCTTATACAAACTGCTAACTCCACACGTGGACTCTGTGTTACACTACCTTCAGCCAGGAGTGTCCACTCTAAACTGGAGTAGCATGAATATTGACGCCTACTTACACCAGGTGCATTCAGCCAATGCCAGACTCAAGGACGTTGTGGACAGTGTTAAAGAAGTTGTGTCTGAAGGCATCGAGAAAAAGATTGAGGAAATAAGAAGAGTGATTCTGTTTGATAAAAAGTTGGCTACAGCTCATGTGTGGAGTGTTGAAAAGTTTGTTGAAGAAGAAAGCAAGGCGGTGACTCAGCAAGGAAGGAGAGTTCATGAAATGGTGAAGGAAGTAGAGAATGCACTGCAGGTGAAGGAAACTAGCTAAAAAATATTCATTTGATTGTTTTGTACTTTTTCAGAGGTTTCATTAACGTTTTCAGCAGAAGGGCAACTGGTTTTCACAGGCGGGCAAAGTGTTTTGAACTGAACTTCTTTATACGAAAAACTTTCTTCTAGATGGTCAAACCAGGCAGGCAAAACCACCCTCTCAGTTGGTCAATTTTCTCGTTGCTTGGCCCTTAATAAAACCCCTGCTCTTTTCTACACTTCTGATGTTTTCAAGATCACGTTGATCGAGTTGTCACGGACATCCCTTTAAGAACATTTAATATTTGATATATTATTTTGTTGAAATGAATAATGGCTGTTTTATATGTTACACTATATGTTGGAAANACATGAGGAAGCCAAGGTTTGTTATAAAGTTATTGTCATTTTTGTGTGGAGATGCGGTGGCCTCATGGTTTGTGCGCTCGACTCCGGATCGAGCGGTCCGGTTTCGAGCCCTGGCCGGGGACATTGTGTTGTTTTCTTGGGCAAAACACTTTACTCTTACAGTGCCTCTCCCCACCCAGGTGTACATGTATAAATTGGTACCTGTTAACCTAATGCTGGGGGTAGCCCTGCGGTGGACTAGCATCCCATCCAGGGAGGAGAAGAAGTAAATACTCTTGGTCGCTTCATGCAAGAGAAACCAGGAAGAGCTGAGCTGGCCTGATTGGGCACTTGTCTCGTATGCAGACTTTACCTCATTGTAGTTTTCAGCAATTTTTACAGAATTTAGTGAGAGATTTGTTTCATTCTCACCTACGATTCCAACATGCAGCTTAATCTTTCTCTGTGGCTGCACCAACAATCTGCTTTGGCAAGCAGCAGTCATGCCATCGTCAGGCCCAGTGAAAAGGTTGCATTATCTGCACACATTTCTGCATGTGCTATATTTGTTATGTGTTTTTTCGACGCCCGCGCTACTGTTGGCTCGCAGCTTCGAATTCGCATGTCGCGCTCGCACGCTCACAACCACTCACTTCTGTTGCGTTCTTCTTTGTCTTCTTTGCGTTCTTCCCCGCGGAATTTCGGCAAAAGAGAGACTGCTTGCTGTCTGTACCCAACCTGAATGACCTGTCCGTTTGAACGTACTCTGTCAGAGGCTCTAGCTGACAAATCAAAGAATTCCATTTGAATGTGGTACTGCGCTCTAATGCAGATTTGTTTCAGAGGTGTATGCTTAAGAGTACTGCATTAATGTATGGTTTTGTCAGAACACAAGTAATCTATGTTTTCTTTTGTTTCTTTCAGATCGAACTTGACAAGATAGTCACTCATAGGAATAGCATCTATGAACGTCTGTCACAGCCTGTTGTCACTTTAGATGAACTCAACAGTGCCTTTCAACTTCTTCAAGAGCTGGGCGACATGGAGAACACTATTGATGATGTTTATCTACCAGTTGAGAATATCTATGCAAAGCTGAGGTGAGTTAGGACTGAGTAACATATTTGGTAGCTTTTTGAGCGGGTATCATATTTTTGTGTTGCTTGCTATTGTGATCCGACCACAAGCCGACCAGGCTAATAGCATGATCAGGTCTAAGCTCAGGTCATAATCAGGTCGCCAGGTCTAAGCTTATCACCTTCTTTATAATAAAAAAATATAGGTATTTGTATGGACATAACGTTTCGAAGCATTGCTCATAAGAATGTTTTTGTTTATAGTGGTCAATGCGCTTAGCTACACCCAGCTAGTTCACTGGCATGCCACTTAAACTGAAAGAAACAAACATATCAATAGATCTATTTCGATATATCAAAATTCAGCCTAAAACAACACGAGGCTCCGGGGAATAAACCCCACAAACTCTGTATTTATTCCCCGGAGCCTCGTGCTGAGGTCTATTGTTTTAGGCTGAATTTTAATATATCGAAATTGGTCTATTACACATAATACGTTTAAAACACCAAACTGGTGGGAGGCAGACCAGTTGGCTATTTACAAACATGACCGAGGAGTTGAACTAGGGTCTACCAAGAAACAACAGTTTAGTGGTCAGAGCAGGACTTGAACCTGCGACCTCCGGATTTCAAGTCCTGCGCCCTAACCACTCGGCCACGCTGCCTCCATCAAGAAAGTCTCGATCACCAAATGACGTGTTTTGTATGAACTCTTCTTTCTTTTGTCCTAGAGAGTATAATTTGTGCTTACCGCGAAGAGAAGTGGAAGAAGTTGACAGTCTTCGAGATGAGTGGATTAAGTTAATGGAACTGGCAGAAAAGGTAACTTTGTGGCATTCTTTCAAGTCATGCCTCTTTAGTTCATATTTTGACATTTATTATCAAAATACCGAATGTGTTTCTGTTTATGCTTTGGTTTAGGTTAGGGATGAGTTGTTGGTTCAAAAGCGGGGAATGTTTGAACAGGAACTAGACAAAGAAGTCAAGGTAGGACTTAAAGAAATCATGCTTCCCGCCACCATTTTTCCTCCATCCCGCATCCTGCCAACGAAAAAATTCTCATCCCGCATCCCGCCAACCCTATGTGAGACCTTCGAAAGTATTTGTTCTTTTCATCCTTTAAACCATTTCACAACAGAAACAATCCCGCTTACCGCCACCATTTTTCCTCCATTCTGCATCCTGCATCTCGCCAACTCTAAGTTAGACCCTCGAAATTATGTGTTCTTCTCATTCCTTGAAACATTTCACAACAAAATAACAATTAACAATTATTTATGTAGACACGTAGCATCCTTGAGGTTAAAGCTCGCTCAAAATACGTACATGCTGACTAAACTCTCCTCTTGAACACTTTTTTATATCAAAATAAAATTGCGCTCCCATTTTGTAGGCATTTGTTGTGAACGTCATTCAGTTCCGGAATAGCTTTGATTCTCAAGGCCCAGGGGTATCTGGTGTAAGGCCTGCTGAGGCTGTGGCAAGACTTCATGACTTCCAACAACACTACACTCAGTTTGAAGCCAAACGAAAGACACTGGACTCTGTTCAACTCCTTTTTGGAATTGTCCCGACACCTTTTCCTGAACTGGATAAAACAGGCGAGGTTGGTTGCTTCTACACTGTAGTCGAACGTGTGAATGTATTTAGTATCCTGTATGTCTTACGTAACGTAGAATTCCGAAAGTAACGGCTCTTGTTACTTTTGGATTTAGCATGCAAAAGTGGCCGCTACTTTTGGGTAGCCGATAATTACGGTTAGCCGTTACTTTCGGATGGTTATACAAAAACCGTTTGTACGGTAAGAGTCGTTTCAGACAAAGTGGAAACGTAACACATGTAATTAAAAGTACCGTTTATGTATGTTTCGAACTACCTACATGAACCATGCAGATGGTATAAACCAAAAAGGCCCTAAACGTTGGCACTGTAGGGCGAAAGTATAATGGTCGCATTATATCGCAATGCAACTGATTACACTACAGTATCTCATTTGACTCTGCTGCTAGACAAATACAGCTCATAAATCATAGTTTCAAGAAAATGAAGTTAAGTTCGTAATAAAATGACAAATAACCCGTCAAGTTGTTCAGTCCTACGTTTGAGAACAGCGAGTTTCTCATTTAGTGACCTCTCCAAAGGGCCGCTACTTTCGGGTGAGCCGTTACTTTCGGGGATAAAAAATTAACGTTATTTAATTTTCGTGGTGAGCGTTACTTTCGGAATTCTACGGTGTTTTGCTAAATATGTGGTCTGTATTCTGCCAAGTACAAACACAGTTAAACACTGTTTTTTTTTTTCTCTTTCCAAAGGAACTTGAACTTCTTGGTTTACTGTATGGGCTGTTTCAGCAGTTTATTTCCTTTGATCAAAGGTTGGTTAAATGTTGACTTGTTTACACTGTTCTGATTGTAATTAGGTATTATTAGTCAAAAGCGAACCTTTGACCTGTCTCCGTGATTTTGCATAATTATTACCTACATGTACCAGGTCAGTACTTACAACTGTAACAAAGGAAGAGTTAGAGTTTCTGGAGGCGCAGCCAAACACAACTTTGGTTTCTTTCATGTACGTGCTCTCCAAATTTCCCAAGTGCGTCATATTTTGATGATGCACAACTCAAAGCATGAATCAGTTGTTTCATAACACCGCCAGTGGAAATGGCAAACTGAATTGAATGAGCGTACATCATTGTATTGTGATGTTTATACTGAGTTTGATAGCGTGGATTTGCTAGCTGTTGTTAATAGATGTGTGTTTAAGGCGATGTGATCTTTTGTTTAGATTTAGAGATACCTTGTGGTCGGAAGTGGATCTGATAGTGGCAAATCAAGAGGTAATGAGTTCATGTACATGTAGTTTCAATTTTTTTTTTGTTACTGGGGACATGTGCATGATTTCTCTTTCATTTTTTTGTGAAAAGATCTGGATAGAATCAGTTGCCAATGATCACAATGTATCATCTCTGGTTGTTTCTCTTGTTGGGACCTGTAAGTGATATGTTGCATGTCCTGGTGCTAGAAACAGGACATGTAAACCAGTTAACTGGAGCTACATGTACTTCACCATTCTTCCAAACTCACTTTAGATTCGGGTTCATTTGCCAATGCAGATCTGCAGTTTTCCATAGCCTTCTGTTCAAATTGGGGGAGCAGGGGAGCATGGGGAGCAGGGATGGCGCATTGGTGAAAGTGCTCACTTTCCACCAATGTGGCCCGGCTTTGATTCCGTCCCGTTGCCATATGTGGGTTGAGTTTGTTGTCGGTTCTCGCCTTACTCTGCGGGTTTTTCTCCGGGTTCTCCGGTTTTCCTCCCTCCACAAAAACCAACATCTCCAAATTCCAATTCGACCAGGATGGAGGACCATCGTGAAAACCAGCTAAGGCTGACGTGGCTCTCTTAATACTGCAATAGATTTTATTTTAGTTATTTAAACTGAAGTGACACAGTTCATACATGCATGCGTTGTGATGTTCTGATTGTATTTATGCAGGACACTTGGCCATTCGGTAATAGCTGTTGTAGAACAATAACAATTCATAAAACTCATTATCGCATTTTTGTTACAGATGGAGCATTACTGGCAGGAGTGCCTTCGTTTGCCACTGAGGATACAAGAGTGGGATGCCTACAAAGAAATGCGAGACGCCATTAAACACTACCTAGATGTCTTCCCCACTTTGCACAAACTCAATTCCAAGGTACCATATTTTTTGGTTTCCTTCCACAATAGGAAGTCAGGGCCAATTATTGCAAGTTTAAGGTCACAGAAGGGTGGTAGGGTATTTCTGAGTATGACACTCTCAACTTAGCTCTTTGCATTGACATCTCCGTTNCCAGCTATCTTGACCGAACAAGCTTGGTCAATAAAGGATTTATTGCACGGAAAAAGAACACTATTTGTCTTGCAGGACACGGCGGGTAATCCTGAGCGGGCAAGATGGGGATATCTTGCCCGCTCGGGTAGCACAGGATTCGGTTCATCTTGCCTGTTCACGGAACTAGCCATGTAATAAATTTTGATGATGCACCGCTCAAAGCGTGAATCAATTGTTTCATAACATTGCCAGTGGAAATGGCAAAGCGAATTAAATGACGGTGCACCATTGTATTGTGATGTACCCTTACGTATACTGAGTTTGATAGCGCAGATTTGCTAGCTATTGTTACTAGTTGTGTATTTAAGGCAAGTGTGATCTTTTGTTTAGGTTTAGGGATACCTTATGGTCAGAAGTGGATCTGATAGTGGCAAATCAAGAGGTAATAAGTTCACGTACATGTAGTTTCAAATTTGTGTTGTTCTAGAGACATGTGCGCGATTTCCCTTTTTTGCATGTCGACAGAATCAGTTTTCAGCGCATGAAAACCAGCTAAAGCTGATGTAGCTTCCTGTCTAAATATTGTAATTTATTTTATTTTATTTGAATTGAGGCGACGCAGTTCATACATTAATGCGTTTTGATGTTCTGATCGTATTTATGCAAACACTTGGCCATCCTAGTTGTTGCAGAACAGTAACAATTCATAGAAGTTATTATCGTGTTGTGGTTGCAGATGGAGCATTACTGGCAAGAGTGCCTTCGTTTGCCACTAAGGATACAAGAGTGGGATGCCTACAAAGAAATGCGAGACGCCATTAAACACTACTTAGATGTCTTTCCCACTTTGCACAAACTCAATTCCAAGGTACCATAGTTTTTGGTTTCCTTCTACAATAGGAAGTCAGGGCTAATTATTGCAATTTTAAGGTCACAGAAGGGTTATAGGGTATTTCTGAGTATGACACCCTCAGCTTAGCTCTTTACATTGACATCTCCGTTTTTTCACAGGAGATTCGCAATCGCCACTGGCTACAAGTCATGAGTGTAACAGGATCGTCCTTCCAGCTTGAAGCGCACATCTTTAAACTTGTCCACTTGTTGGATATTGGTTTACTACAGTAAGTACTGTTAGAAAATAGGTACTACCAATGTACATGCGGCTTGTCTTTCTTTTACTCTGTTTTACGCNAATATTTCTGTATGCTAACGTAGTTTAAATGAAGCTTGCTTTAATTTAAGATTACTATAGAAGGGTCCTTTCAAATACTGCTTGCAGTGAAGGAAAAGGAGAACTACAGTTTTTATTAAATGCCCCAGTGGGGGTTATGATATTCACATAGTTTTCGTAACGTATCTAAAGTGGAAAGGTAGTTTATTATTTACCAATTAGACAATTCACCCAATCTCAAACCGCAGTTAAACCAAAACCAAAGTAATGGCCTGATTACTTTTGAAACTCAAGTGAAAACTGCTCTAAGCTGAAAGCAATTTGATTTAAATCACAGACACCAGGCCGCTATAGAGGAAATCTGCAGATGCGCCAGTAGAGAGCTGGAGTTAGAGGCCAAGATGAGGAGCACTGAGGAAGAGTGGACAGAACAGGTATCATTTCATAGAATACTATGTACCAATTCATTACACACCCTGCACACTCGCAATGCTACTTACACATCTAACTCCATACTACACTGTGCTTATACATGATTCCATTGTTAGTAGTATAGAGATTTTACGCATATACGACGGCGACGGCGAGGAGTACACCAATTGGAACTTTATTTATATTTTACTTCAGAACTTTGCAGTTATCTAGATCTGTTCAGTGCGTTTTCCGGTGTAAAAATTGGTCCAAGGTGATGAAAATGCTACAGATGCGTTCAGTTCTAAAGAGAAATACAAAAAAATGAACCGTAGTGGTTCACGTTCTGTAAAAAGCTTGGAAATTGGTAATTTTTCTAAGGACGAAATGTACCAAGGTGAATAATGCACGTAGAGATCCTTGTCGTTGTGTTTTGCGTAAGGTCCTTAGTATTGCCCTGTCCACACCATGCCGGAGGAATTTGAAAACGCAACAATAACCGGTCATTTTGGATTTGTGTTTGAGGAAAACTCGGGCAGGGAAATCACAATGATGTCATCGTTTTCGAAAAGCTGCCCTCAAAACGTTTTCTGTTCACACTAAAACGCAAAGCCGGCGCTTTCAAATTCCTCCGGTTTGAAGAGCGTTTTCGAAAAGCTCCTTTTTCGTGACGGATTAGTGTGAACAGTAGGCCTAACCGTTGAAATAAAGCTGCATTTCCAATTTCTTCCAGCGTAGTGCGGACGGGGCTTAACATCCGGGGCTTATTTGTTGTCTAAATCGTACTAACTGTGCTACTGTTTGCAGGTTCTCACCTTTGAGAATTTCAAGAACAGAGGTCTGGTGTGTTTGAGTCACAGTAACACTGA